TCGCGATCAGTACGTCTAGATGTTGGAGCTTCTTGTGGGAACTCTTCTTGTGGGGTTTCTTCATGCGAAACATCGTTTGTTGGTGAGGAATCTATTGGTGGTGAAACATTTGATGGGACTTCAATAGATGGTGAAAGTTCTCTAAGATTCATTGCTGGTGAGGAATGTGCGTGAGCTTGTGTTAGAGGATTAGCATCCTGTTGTGGTTGAGGTGCTGACTTTAGTGGATTCTGAAAATGTTTAACCTTTGGCATGGTTGCATGTTATATGATAAAAAAAAAAGATAAGAGGTAAGATATATAACAAATTTATAAATGTAACTTAAACATGTTATAATAATGAAACAACATTTTCAATTATAAAACATTTAAACCATTACCGTTAAATAAAGCACCATATTAACTATGTTTTTAATTCAAATGTGTTCTGCTAAGTTTGCAGCAATATTTGTCTCAACTATATCATCATTTAAGTGGTTTGTAGCCAATTACATAAATTCATCATTAAGGCCAAAAAATTGGTCAAGCTCTTGTTGTTGGTACGGCTCATTCTCATATACTTCATCTTCTACATCTTCTCCCATTTCATATAAATCTCTTGGCTTTAGATGTACAACAACACTCCATCCTTCATTAACCACATCATCTACATAATACACCATTTGTGCTTGAGATGCTTCAATGTAGGGTTCATGTTCTTCACGATCACCAACATGAATAAATTTATTAAAATTAACACAATTGAAATTCCAAGAATCCTTCTTATATCCTCTATGATGAGTAGTATCAACCCATTTACATTTAAAAAGAATAACCTTGAACCGACCATAATAGTTAATCTCAATGATGTCTTCCAATTTCCCATAATATGGTAAGTCTGCTTGCTGTTAGTTCTTGTCAACACTACTTGCAACACAAAAGGTGTGACAATTGCACAATTTAAAAGCACATATCGATGAGCTTGTAGTTTTTCCATTTGAGTTAAAGTGAACATTGAGGAAGCTCCTACTAGTTTACCCATTGGAGGGAAGATAGAGGACATTTCATGTGTCTCATTCTCATTTGGTTCATCACAAACACGTCTAGGCCTATTGAACCTTGTCTCTATATCTTCTACGTATCGTGAAAAAAAAGTAAGAGACTCTTCAGCTAAGTAACCCTCAGCTATAGAACCTTTTGGTTGTGCCTTATTCCGTACAAAGGACTTTAAATGACCTAATTCCCTATAAAAAAGAATGGATAATATAATTAGTCTAAAGAAGTAGAATTTATTTGAAAAAATACCTCAAAAAGTATTTATTTGTTTACCTTTCCACATGATACATATATCGATAATGCACAGGTCATCCTAGCTTTGCTTCATCTATTAGATGGATAGTTAAATGAATCATAACTGTGAAGAATGATGGAGGGAATAACATTTCTAGGTGGCAAAGTGTAACAATAATCCGATCTTGGAGCTTATCGAGGTGTGAAATGTTCAAGCATTTACCACAAAGAACTCTAAAAAAATGAAAATTTCCACCAAGACTGCTATCACATGGGTTGGCAATAAATTACGGATAGCTAATGGCAACAATTGCTCCATAATAATATGGCAGTCATGACTTTTTAACCCAAAGATCTTCTTTTGCACCTTATCAACACATCTTGAGATATTACTTGATTATTACTTGAGTACCCATCTAGTACTGTAACATTTTTCAGATTTGCAAGAAACAACTTTTTGGCTTCACCTGTTAATGAATATAAAGCAAGGTGATATGCTCCTTTATCATCTGGCCAAAGGTCAGGCTTTATGCCCATATCTTTTAGATATTTTCGGGCATTAAGATTGTCTTTTTATTTTGACCTATCATGGAGCAATGCATATATGATATTGTCACATTTTTTTTTCTATATGCATAAAATCTAGATTATGATGCAACAAGTTGGACTTCCAATACGGAAGTTCAAAGAATATACTCCTTTTATTCCATTGCTTAGTTGCCTGTCTAGGTCTTTTTCCTCTACCATGTCGCATTGCTCCTCTCCCAAATGTAACATTAAGACTTTCCACTTGCCTTAAAAGGTCAACCCCCTGATAAATTTAATGGTGGATTTTGTTCCTTTGTGCTTCCATCAAATCGAACATGATTCAATCTAAATCTATGATTTCTACTCAAAAATCGACGATGACCTATAAAACACCATTTTTTACTGTGAGGAAGTCGACAAGGTTCTACGTCAAAGTTGCAAGTTGGGCAAGCCAAACATGTATGTGTATTCCAACCAGATAGAATGCCTTACCCGAGAAAGTCACTAATTATCCACATAAGAGCTGCCCTTATTTTAAAAGTTTCATTTAATGATGAATCAAACGTTTCCACACCATTATCCCATAACTCAATTAACTCTTTTACCAAGAGTTGTAAGTAAACATCTATATTATTTTCAGGCATCTGTTTGCCTGGAATGATCATTGATAAGATGAAAGAAGTGTGTTTCATACATATCCAAGGAGGAAGATTATATGGAATCAAGAACACTGGCCAAATGCTATATGCAGAACTCATGGTTCCAAAAGGATTGAAACCATCACTAACAAGGCCTAAACGAACATTTCGAGGATCTAAAGCAAACTCAGGGTGTGTCAAATCAAATGCCTTCCATGCCTCGCCATCCCTTGGATGCCTTAGCAACCCATCTTTGTTGCGCCCCAAAACATGCCATCTCATATGCTCAACAGTCTTACAACACATAAACAATCTTTGCAACCTTGGTTCCAATGGAAAGTAATGCAAAACCTTTGCAGGTTGTTTTTTCTTCTTCTTTGGGTTCCATCTCGATGTACCACAATGCTTGCATGTTTGCAAGTCTTTATCATCATCTTCCAAATATAACATACAATCATTTGGACATGCATCTATCTTGGTGTAGTTAAGACCAAGTTTGGTAATGATTTACTTGGGCTCATAAGAAGAAGGAGGTAATTTCACTTCATGAAATGCATCTCTCAACAAATCTAGTATCATAGTGATTGCCTTGTTACTTAATCCACACAAAACTTTGATATGATACAATTTTATTATAAATTCTAGCTTTGTGTGTCTGCTCCCTTCATACAATGTTTGGTTTGCATCATTGAGAAACTCACTAAAGCCATTATGATCTTCTATAGAATGTTCATGTAATCTTTCCTCTGCACCTGATGCTTGTGATGTCGTTGCATTAACAACTTCTTCCTCCTAGTGCCCAAATGCATCATTAACCATGGTTTCCATTGGATTTGCAAAGTTGAATGACTCTTGTGGACCATCTTCATTTATAGAAGGCTCTAATATTTGTTTCTCAACATGAAGATTCCATAACACATAATTTTCGGGAAATGGTCTACAAATCAAATGATCTTGTACCACATGTCTAGTTTGTCATTTCATAAACCCACACTTTGGACATGAACAACATATAGTATCCCTAACAGCTCCATTCTCAAATGCAAAGTCTAAGAATTTACTCAAACCAATTGATCAGTATTCAATTGTATTTCGTGACCTAGCAATCCAAGATTTATCCATTGGTCAACATGAATTTGATTCACAATATGAGATAAATAACAAAAGTCATGGCCAGATGACAAGAAGATTTTTACAAAAACATGTTGTCACGGATGACAAGAAGATTTTTATACATTGTCAAATAATCATTCCAAATCCATAACATTAAATTCACAAAGTATATTCCTAATCTTTTAGTTTATCTAAAATTACATTCTCTCAAACCATAACAAATATATATTAATAAATAAGCTAAATTTGATACGAGACAAGTTAAAACACATGAAATAAAATAATCATAGAGCGCTCATTGATGTAATAAGAATATCACAAACTTAAAAAGAAAAAAAATCAAACCAAGATTAAAGTAAAAGAAGAGATGAGATTTGACTTACTTCAAAGTAATTTAAGAATCTTTACACTTTTACGTGGTGGTGCAACCTTCAAATTTCAATTCTTGGAAGGATCTTAAATTCTTATCCGACAATTCGAATAAAATATTAGACCATTTTAAATCAAATACCTTAAAGGTTTGCACTTTCATGGAATAAAATATAATTGTAAGGAAAGCAGCTAATTAAAGTGAAAAGGAAACATTTCGTTAACTCATAACTTAATAAAATACATTGTATCAATACAAAATAGATTCCCTTATAAAAAGGCCTTTTATTTGCTTTATAGTTCAGACCATTTCATTTCAATATAACTTAATAATTTAACTAGAATGCATAAACCTAAACAATTAAATATAAGTATAGAACTTTGTGCACAAATAGTGAAAGGATCCGCCATTGCAATAAGAAAATTATAAGATGAATGTGAGTGACATTATATTTAATATTTTTTTATTTATAACATTAATAAAAGAGATATTTTATTATAGTCTACATTTTTTTTGTCATTTTATCTCTTAACTAATTTATTTGTCTTAACTAATTTATTTTTTAACTAATTTGTTTAATTACCACAACTATTCTAAAGTTAATCACACTTTTTTAATTTCATCAGTTACATTTTTTTTCCTTTCATTTTTTATGGTGATAATGGAGTACCTCATTTTACTTATTATTAATTAAAATTTATGGTGACAAGCCATTCCAATTACCAGCTTTCCCATTGATATTTGGTAGTAACTTTAACCTTAATTTCCCTTCACTTGTGTCTTTGCTGATTAATTAATTACCTTTGATTAACATATGTGTGACACAGGGAAGAGATCAGTGACGGGTGGGATCATAGGGGAATGAAAGAGATAAGTAGACTGCTTATGTAAAGCCAATAATTGAGCTAAAGAAATAAATTCTGAAAGTAAAAAAGAAACCATGCCTTCAAGATAGCAAGATCCTTTAACCGGTCAGCTCCAACGAGTCTACCTTCAAAATTCATTTGTAGCCTTTAAAATAGAAAGTGTTAGAATTACATATATTAATTATAACAATGCAAAGAAATAAATTCTCCATGAGTCTAACCCTTCTGTTGCTAGAATATTAACTCGAGCAACAATCTCACCAGCATTTGGATTTCTTGAAAGGGCATTGCCAATTACTGAATAATACAAGAATATAACAATCAGAAGTCAGTAAGATTTGGAGAATGCGTATACAAATTAACAAGTGCATAATGCAGAGCACAACAAGTACATTAGGCAAGCAGCAAAATGAGGCCAAAATTTTCAAAGAATGGAGACAAAGGGGAGAAAAACCAAAAGATATTTAAAAGCACAAAATAAATCAACAAATACTTATTATTACATTGAGAATACATGCCCAAGTCAAGAAAGTCCAACTAAGTTTGATCAATACTGGATAAAATTTTACTTATGCATTATGCACATTAAGTCAAGAATACTTATGCACATTAACTCATAGCTCAATAAAATTTTACTCAAGAGAACCAAAGCTAAATGTGTGTGATGATTGTGTATTGTTTTGGAGATTGGATTCAGACATAACCGAAACACTCTATTTTCTCCATTTATGCTCACTGTGATAATTTGTCACAATGTGGCCATCCTTATCCCAAACTACTCCAGAACCATTTCCTTCAGGAATCTGCAAGCATAGATACAAAAAGCAAATTACATTGTTTCATATTTTACTCACATATGGGACAATAAAAAATCCATCATGCTAATAAGCTAGACACAGTATAATAATTATTACAAAATAAATAGTCCTTGATACACCTTAAAATGATTTAACATTAGATATAATAGTTTAAGTACCAAGTTAACTCAACCACACCAGTTCCATTAAGCTGAGGATGTAATGTCATATTGAATATGTTAACAATAGAGTATGTGTTCCTTTCAAATAGTTGGACAATTCGATCCTGGCAATAACAACGAATTAGAATTAAATACTGCTATATAAGGGTTAAAAAAAATGTGCCATACAATCACAACAGAAAAAAGAGGGTCTATAGTTGAAAGTTGACCTCTATGGGAAACAGTGGCCTAGGAGAAAACACAGGAGGGGTTATTTCTTCAAGTGTCACTGATGGATCTCCCAATGCTAGGGATTGTACATTTATAATTTATTGCAAGATGATAAACTTTGCTAGCAAATACTAATACACACTAGAATAAAAGAATACAACATGTTTATCATCAAAGAACATAGAAAATTAGAACACTACTGCTAGAATTCTATTACTGCACTCCACTAATTTCATATTTACAATTGGTGTCATATTACAAGTTACAATTATGAACTCAAACTCACGATTGGCTACTCATGGTTCCATATAAAAAACTAATAATCAGGGTCAAATACATCAAACTTAAGGTAATCCACCTCGTCAACATTTACAAAAACAAAAAACACTATTTTTTACCTATACCTGCAAATGATTCAAGCAGCTAAATATATTTAGTCCATGAAAAATCTTGATTTGTTAGTTTTAGGCCTAAATCTTTTTTCGTTGGTTTTAATTCTCATTAATTTAAATTTTTAATTAATCTCTATCACCATTTAGTGATGATGCAGCCTGATTATACATTCTGTATCAGGGATCATTCTTCTGAGATGACGTGAATTGGCGTATCTAGATACATATCAAGCCAACAGTAAATGCAACATGAACCATTTTCAAATCATCTAAAATTTATAAAACTAAATCCATCAAAAATAAATTTTGGAGCACTAAAACAAAAAAAAAATGTAACTTTAGAGACTAAAAGCATCTTAAAAATCCTAAACAATTTATTCCATAAGGAGATAGCAGTTGAATAATGCGGGAACAGATGAGAAATCAATTTTGAATGACCACCACAGAAACACAATCAAGTAGTGATAGATGATTTTAAATGTATGTAAATAAATCCTAGACATAGCAAATCAAGAAGTGTTTTTAAATGTATTATAATCCCCAAAAATGGACAACTAAACAACATTGAATCATACTTGAAACGTCGGAAGCGAGGGCGAGAGAGAGGGTTGAGCAACCAGCGACAATTGTCTTTGGAAATGCGAAAAGGTGGGAGATTGACCCTAACGTCTTCGTCTAGGGAGGAGAAGGGGAGAACTGAACTGAACTATTTTTTTGTGTCATTGAACTGAACTGAACTATACTATAAAAACTTGAACTGAACTGCAATTTAAATTGCACTGAACTGTTATGATATTTTGAATTGAACAATTTTGACTCATTGATCTATCAAAATAGGACACATTTGCCAACATTACTTTATTTTCCATTTTATTTAAATTTTTCAAAGAAAAAATATAAAATTAAGTCAAACAAACTCAGCGAATTTTAAGCCTGAAAATAAGTAGTCCAACATAGCTCAATTGATCTGTTAGATTCGATAAAATTGATACAAATTTTTTTTGGATAACTTTTTTTTCTAAAGTTTTCGTTATTAGACTATCGAGTTAATCCATTAAGATATAACATGTTAGACACATTTAATTTTTATCCTTTTATAAAAATAGTTCAATTTTTATAATTCAGTTCAGTTTTATAGTTCAGTACAGTTAACTTTTCAACAGTTTAGTTCAATTCAGTTTTTTTTAAATAGTTCAGTTCAGTTTTTTTACAAACAGTTCAGTTTTTTATAGTACAGTTCAGTTCAGTTCAGTTTTTTTTGCCCACCCCTAAGCGGTGCATGACTGAGCAGAGCGATGCATGTGACTAAGCAGAGCAGTGCGCATGGCTGAGCAGAGCAGTGTGCGTGGATGAGAGGAGAGGAGTGAGAATTTTCAGGGATTGGGTGAAAAATTGGAGGGATATGGTGAAAATAAAAACTGTGGGGGAAAAGTAAAGAAAATGGTGAAATTTTTTTTAGGGAAAAAGGTATGTAAATTTGGGAGGGCATAAACCTCCTAAAAAAATAATAAAAACCGTCACTATTTTCATAATTTTAAGCGTTTCACATAAACGCTGCAAATCATGTTAATTTGAGGAGAGTTTTAAAATCTTTGTAAAATAACCCTCACTAAATAGCATTTTTTTTGTAGTGCATAAAAATAATTTATTTAAAATTCCTGAAATATTAATAACCTATATCATACGAAGGATAATAAATATGTAATGAGAAGAGTACCACATGAGGAAAAAAGGTTGACGTGGAAAATTTATAAGTTTAAAAAATTTCACGATCTCACATTTTGCTGATCAAATATTATATATTATAAATAAATAAAGACGATGAATTGACTTACTTTAAGGGAATGTTTAGTATACAAAATATTTTTATATTTATGTGAATTTTAAAATTAGAATCTTAATTTTCTATGTTTAGTAACTATTTTTTTAAAAAAAAAGAGATTTATTGAAATGTAATTTTTTGGGAATCATTTTTATCTCACTTTTTCATAAAAATATTATTATGAGAGGTGAGAATCCAATTTTTCCAAATTAGGGAGAAACTTTAATGCATATAAAAGACCATAATATCTTCTTTTTAAATAGAAAATCTCTCTTTCCCTTGCTCATTCTATTTCTCTTTGATCTCCATCTCTTTCTCTCTCTCACTCTTACTCCCCCCTCTCTCTCCCCTTCTATTTCTCTCTCTCCCTCTCTCTCACTCTCACTCCCCCCTCTCTCTCCCCTTCTATTTCTCTCTCTCACTCTCTCTCACTCTCACTCCCCCCCTCTCTCTCTCTTTCTCCCTCTCCCCCCTCTCTCCCCTTCCATTTCTCTTTCTCCCTCTCTCTCACTCCCCATCTCTCCTTCTCCCTCTCACTCTCCCTTTCTTTCTCTCTCAGTTTCTCCTTCTATTTCTCTTTCTCCCCCTCTCCTTCTCTCCCTCTCTCCCTCCCATATCTTTATTTCTCTCTTTGTTTGTTTGTATGTCTCTCTCTATCTCTCTCTCTCTCTCTCTCTCTCTCTTTCTTGTATTTAATTATTTCTTAATCTTGTCAATTTTAATAATATTATTAAAGTCTATTTTGTTTCTATAGTTTAGTGGCATTCGTTAACATTTTTTAATTAATTAATTAATTTGAATGAAATGAAATATATATTTTTATCCTTCTTAATTATTACGTAGCATTTTTCTTTGTTTATTTTTTTGTTGAATTCTGTCTTTAAATAATTTTAACTGTAAGTTTCAATTTTTTAAAAATAACTTAATGTCATATTTGTTATAAGATTTAAGTAGATAAATATATTTAATAAGTTTATTTTTATAAAGGATATTTTTGTAAAAGTATTGATATTCACAAGAATATAGTAGTGTAACCAAACATTAAAATCTTAAATTCCTGGAAATCCTATATGAATATTTCTAGGAACCTTAATGAGTAACCAAACATATTTTAGTTATTCCTAGGAATCATGATTTCTAGGATTTGTAATTCAAGAATCATGATTCCTTGATATAAAAAAACTTTTTCCCTACCAAATGCCCCCTAAGAGTAAGTTTGTTTAGACTTATTCCATTCAATAATTTATATTCTACAATAAATTTCAATGATCTAACCATTGAATTAAAAAATTTTAATGCATAGATTAAGTTTACAAATTTTTAAAAAATTAAAAACTATTTGATACTATGTTTCATTAAATGAAATCAATGTATTTAATGTTTTATTTATGATTAAATGCCAATTTTTTACTCCATTCAATAATTAATGTTTTAAATTATCTATATTAATGAAAATTTTTTAGTTGTTTTACTTTTCAATAGCCAACTTTATTGCTTAATATCATCATAGTTTTAAAATCCAGCTTGGATTGATCGGTTCGACTGAGAACTGAAGAAATAGTCAATTTGAGTCTCTTATCAAATCGAATATGTCTTCGACCCAGGGTGAACCAATATGACTCGACCAATTTTTTGGATAAAATATATGAGAATTGAACTTTCCACATATTGAACTTTGAACTTTTCTAGTTACGAGAATTGAGCTTTTTAATGAATGTGCTTCTAGGTTAAAAAAAATAATAATAAGAGCATTTTTTTTGCCACAATGGAAATCAATACTACACCCTTTGGAAGAGATAGGACTTATATTTTTATTTAATCTTTAATATATAATTATATTTTTAGATATATATATATATATATTAATTCATGTGGTTCAAATAGTTTTTTATGTGACTTAAATAATTTGTATAGTATTTTTTAAATTAAAATTATATTAATTTATGTGTTTCAATAGTCTATAATTTAATTGCTCTTTTAATATTATATTAACTACAATTCTTGCAACATACTCGATCAGACTTCTTGCAACATAGAATATAGAATAATATATTGCATCGAAATGATTAAACTCTTTATCAAGTATGAAACACGAAATAGAGAACATATGTATATGCTATGTCATCTATGCTTCTAAGAAGTTTCATATGCTATGATGTAGAGTCTATTGAATTTCCACATACTTCCTTAGGTGGTTACTAGTGGGCTCTAACATCCCCTTTTCAACACATTTCAGATCCCTTAACTTTTTGACTATGTAGAGCATTGATTATTATGGTTGAACTATGCTATATTTGGAGAGTACACAATCATTTTGGTCCTTGAATTTGTAAAACAATGTTATATTAGTCTTGGAAATGAAGAAATTTTTCTAAACATCATTTCTTTCAAACTGATGGAGT